GAATGGCTGTTTCCTTCCCTAAAGGGCATTAGGGAACCAGATGGGATTTTTCCCTGACAATCAATAACGGATTCGTGGTCATCATTTGATTCTTAATTCCAGATATTTATTGAATTCAAATTCCACCATCTGCTATGGCAAGGTTTAAACCTGGGTCCCCAGAATGTTATCTAGGTCTCTGGATTAACAGCCCAGCGCTAATACCACTAGACTATCGCCTCCCCCCGATAGTGTAGGAGCTGTATATCACCGAAAGCAAACTGTGGTGTGGTTAAATTTACTACTCATGCCAGATGTGGACAGTAATTAATATAGTTTCGGGTTGTGTCAGCCTGTTTGTGTAATGGTACAAAATAAGTACTTTCTTACCATTGTATTCGGAGAAAGTTCAAACTCCTGAGTGAGTCTTGTACCCCCGACTCCTGCATCTGCACCGGTGTTTTGCTTGAATAAAGTTCTCAAGTGCTGCTTTACTTCGCTGTCTTCAAATTGGAATAACCACATTTTGAACAATTGTATACAAATTACACTATAGGGCAAAGAGAAGCTCATGTTGGAATGGTGTTGCTGGATAGGATCCTTGGAAAACAAAATTATAAAGGCTATCGAGCAGTTTGATGGATATTTAAGCATGGCTCTCAGATATCAACATTTCATCTAAATTGATTGTACTAGGAGCGCAATACCAGAAGGGAATAACAGAGAGCAAATTGCACAGTGGCCCAAATTCAGTAAACTTTAGAAAAACGGATACCTCAGCAGTAAATGATCAGGAGAACAGAATTTCGCCATTCGCCCGCAAACACCTCCCCAGATTGTGGAAAGGGGATAACAGAAAGACAAGATTCAGAACAAAAGCGCAAGTACAGAACAGGCAGGCACGGAGAAGACAAGAAGCCAGTATAGGTAGTTTTTTTTTGAAAAACTGACAACTTAAAAGGATAGCATGCCAAAAACGTAACCAGGAGGTGGTGCGTGTGTAGTGGTGAGGTTGAGGACTTCAGGGAGGGAATCCTACGTCTAGTGATCTAGAAGACTGAAAACACTATTCATACCTACCTATGGTATAGGAAACGGAAAATAAGGGTAAGTTCCTAGAGATCCGGCAGGCAGTTGTAGGTCTGGAAAGGTTGAGAGACACAAAGTGAGCTGAGGTGATGGAATTGAACCATATACATTGATAGAATTCTGTAAAGAAAAGCGGATGAATAATAGCAGAACAGGACCTGACATAGGAAATGGGCAGCAGAGTTTCGGATGAGATAGTGTATGATGGGATGAGAACATGGTCAGAAATCACATGACACCAGGTTATTGTCCAACAGGTTTACTTGAAAACACAAGCTTTTGGAGCCTCAGACCTCCTTCAGGTGTTAGTGAGGGAGATAATATCAGACAGAATTTAAGGAAAAGATCAAAGGTCACACCATTGCTGAGATGTACTAAACAAACACAAGATGTCCACCCCAATCCAACAGCAGCACCTCCACATCATTAGATGATTGATCAGTGGAGGGGCCAAGATAGATGGCGAAGTACCAGTATAGCATGTAGAATCTGATCCAATTTCTGCACCACGTTGCTAAAGGCTGCAGGCAGAGGCAGCATTGATCAAGTAAGCTACTGTTGACTCCAGAGGTAACAGTGGAATGGAAATCACAGTTCTTAGGGTGTTCCAGTCAATACTTATCTTTGAACCAACATCATTAAATAGATCATTGCTGTTTAAGGGAATTGGCTGTAAACAAATTTCAGTGATTGCACTTAAAGTATGCTTTGTTACCTAAAGCAACGGTCCCAATCTTTTCAATAACACCACACTTGACAAACAAAATTCCACAGCACACCCGCCTTTGCAGCTGAATTGATTGCTCATAATAACTGTAATAAATGTGACGTTTTGCAAACCCTGACCTAATGAATGCAAGAAGCTAGAGAAGGATCAAACATATGGTTTCAAATTCACTAGAAAAAGTACACTGTCTTTAATCACAAATGCAGACATTTTCAAAATCTACTCAACTATTTCTAACACTTCATAGCCCTAAATCTGTTCCACACTGATTCAGTTCATGGGTCTGAATTTCACAGACAGCATTTCATATTTGTAACAATATTTTGTAAATTACCACTAAATAATTGAATTGATACATAATTTAAAAAATCAATGCAGTGCAAAACATGAAGTAAATTACAATGTACAAGTTAGTGGGAAACCTGGGCCTGCTGGCATGCACAAGGCCTTTTGATCCAAGGAGGAATTGAAAGGGCCAGTTGCAAACCTTGCTCCACAGGCAAGTGCTCCCTCCTTTTATTCTTAAACGTCAATGTTCAATATGCAAATTTGCAAAAGGTGTGTTGGTAGAAACGATAGCATGGTCTGAGGTTGCCAGATATTCATATCACACAGTCAACTAAGACAGTCCCCTCTCCAAACTTCAACTTTATTCTGCGTTCCATCCATAGCTCTGCGTATTCCTTTTTCTTTTTGCATCAGCTTTTGTGATTAATCAGGATATAGTGAACTAAATAGATCATGTATTTAAAAACAGAAAGAACTGCGGATGCTGTAAATCAAGAACAAAAACAGAAGTTGCTGGAAAAGCTCAGCAGGTCTGGCAGCATCTGTGAAGAAAAAAAAAATCAGTTAACGTTTCGGGTCTGGTGACCTTTTCTCAAAGCTGATGGTAGCTGGGAAAACATCCGTTTACATGCCAGAAAACAGGGAGGGTGATGGGGTAGGGGGCAAAAGACAGGATAGAGCCCGAAGAACAAGGACAAAGGAATTGATAATGATCTCGCTAGCAGGGTGAATATTGTTAATGGGGACTGTAGGTGACTAACAATAGTTAGCGTGTAATGGTAGGCTGAGAGATAACAAGGCCTGGTGTGTGGGGGAGGGGTCTAGGACACGGGAGAGTTTAGGCCCTAAAATTATTGAACTCAATATAGAGTTCAGAGGGCTGCAGGGTCCCCAAAGGGAAAATGAGGTGTTGTTCTTCCAGCTTGCGTTGAACTTCGCTGGAACACTACAGCAATCCAGGGACAGAGATAGTGGCCAGGGAACAGGGTGATGTGTTAAAAAGCGTTAGCCAGCAGGTATCTCGGTCTTTTTTGTGAGCAGAACGCAGATGTTCTGCGAAGCAATTACCCAGTATACGCCTAGTTTTCCCAACGTACAGGAGACCACATTGTGAGCAGCGAATGCAGTAGACTAGATTCTGGGAAGCGTAGTTGAAGTGTTGCTTCACTTGGAAAGTATGTTTGGTCCCTTGGATAGGTGGGACGGAGGAGGTAAATGGGCAGATGTTGCATCTTTGCCAGTTGCAGGGGAAGGGGCCTGGGGCTGGGGGTGAGGAAAAGTGGACCAAGGTGTCCCAGAGGGAATGGTCCCTGTGGAAGGCGGACAAGGGAGGGGAGGGGAATGTGTCTAGCGGTGGCATCGCACTGGAGGTGACAGAAACGGTATCTGAAGATCTTTTGGATGTGGATGCTGGTGGGATTGTAGGTAAGAACAAGACTCTTGAACTTTATCTGAAACCTGCACACACTTCAGACAGAGATGGCTTCATGTTTTGTTCTTTCAAGCACAAAGTACCGAAAAGTTTGGTTTGCAAGAGATGGACGTTTTGTCTGAAAATGGCATTTTGACTTACTTGGTACCAGTGTTTGCCAACTTCCCTGAACGTTCCATCCTAAGAGGCAAGCATCTCCTGTTCATGATAATCCAAAGGCCTAACTGTTCTCATTACCTGAACAGTTCTTGCTTTTTCTTCCCTTTGGATTTGGATGTTTCAATTACTGAATTAGCAGAAGGATCACCTCTTTTGACCAGAAATGTAACCATTTCTTAGATCAGGAGGGGGAAACAAAAAAAAGATTTTGCAAAGAAATGTGGATATGGTCAATTTAGTTACAAATGCTGATGTCAGCAAAATGAGACAAAACAAGCTAACCAAAAAAAGGCACTTCAACACAGTTGCTTGGCTTCTATGGTCACTAGCAAAGACTATCATGTTATCTCAATTTTGCCCTTTCGCCATCTGATTTTAGAATTGAAATGCTAATACCTCAATTTGATAATTCATGACCATGAGTTTGAGTTGTAATTTTGCTTGATTGAATATTTGGCAGTCTAAAAAAAACTTGCACAGAATTTCACAGCACACTAACAGTTCTTACAGAAGAAAGCATGTGGCGTCCAAGAAATGACAGGAGCTCTACAACTCCAAGTTCCTTCTTTTTTCCATCGTGCGTGGTTAAGCCAAAATTGGGATTAGAAGCATGTGGCACTGTACAGAATAGTAGTTTCTGCTGTAGCTGATTGAAGAATCACTGTACTGCATTGTTATTGAAGTGGAATAGAAGTGGTACAATGGAGAAAAAAAATGTAGGAAATCTTTGCGGAATCTAATAATTGTGTGCACTTTGTTTCCCTTGTATTGTTCATCTTGTTGTAACCATTGCGGGGCACAGAACAAGTCTTGAACCTGGAACAGGCAAAATCCCGTTGTGACTTTTAAAAGATTTATAATTCAGATGAACTTCCAATGGCAACCCAAGAATACTGCATTGGGCTTATCCTGAGAACCTCAACAAGCTTGAAGGAGGATCCTGGAAACAGGCAGGAGTAGAAGACAAAAAAATTGTTCACGATCCATAGCTTCTCAAACGGTATACACTATGTCTTTGCTTTTGGAATTGGGTGTAAAGTCAAACCTGCTGTCAAAAGTTTGATCAAGATTAAAAGCATCTCTACAGCTCCTGCAGAGTGTAATTGCACAATATTCTTGTTCACTGATCTAATACAAGATGCTTCAATTGAAATCACAACTGAACAGGAAAATTCAAACTTCAGGAAGGTTACTTTGTTATGGAAAAAAATATTCATCTCAGATTATACTTGAAATAATTGCAAAAAAGATAAAACAATTAATAATCCAGTTAACGTGAAGGACAAGGGAAATTAAAGTGGTTAGAGGAAAAAGAATCTTCCAAAATTAAATTCCTTAGGTTGTCTTTATTTGAAGGTGTTTTTTTTAAACCAAAATATAAATCGAATGACAAACCATACAAACTTCACAAAATAGTGATTTCACACATTCTAGGTAAATATCTCAATTACACAGGTAGAAACAAAATTTCTCTGGCAGGCAAAAGTTCAATTTCTTATTCCCAGTGATTTATTTTTAGGTATTAAGATTTTGAAACTGGTCATTTCACCTTAAACCCAAACTGCACGGTTGGAAGCTTCCAAGGTTCCCTATAACTGAATGAAGTAACAAAAGCTCCTTATAGTTCAACTTTTCTTCTTGATAGTTTGGTTGCATGTTCTTCCACAAATTTGCTCAAAGATTCAAGATCTCGGTCACCCTTATCATATTGAATAGGATTGTCTTTATTATTACTTGGAGCAAAATAGATGGTAGGGAATCCCTCAGTTTTGTACTTATCATTTGGTACATCATTTGCTGTTGCATCCATCTTTGCAATGACTATATTTTCTTCATTTTTGTACTTCTTTCCAAGTTCTAAATAGACTGGTTCCAGTTTTTTGCAATGTCCACACCATGGTGCATAGAATTCTATCAGGACATCTTTCTTTTTGTCCATAACTATTTCAGAAAACGTTTTGCCCACCACCACTTTTACTGGTCCTTTGTTACTCTTTGGAACTGGTTGTGACTTCACAACTGGCTTTAATTTACCTGTTAAAAAGATAGGTAAGGAATTTGTGAATACATGCAGCCCCTAATGCAGAAAACAGCAATTCAGAACTAGTTATTAAGCAGATCTACAGCAAGTTAATAGAAAAATCTCAAGGCTCTTCAGAGGTGCAAGGAAAAAGAGAAATATAGTGCATCAAAAAGTCTGAAGTAGGGTTAAACCCTTCCTTTAAAAAACACACACACAAATAGACGTTTAAGAATAGAATTCTAGAACACATGATGAGGCACACTTGCTGGGAAGTGAAAGATGGACAAGTGACTACAAAGAGAAATTGGCGAGGAAACCATGAAGAATAGGAAAAAATGTTGGAGCAGATTCAAGAAAAAAAAAGTCAAATTCCCAGAACCTGATTGCCTACATCATAAAAAGGTTCTAACAGAGATGGTTGAACGGCTAATGGATGCACTAGTTAGGATTTCCCAAATTTTAGAACTATCCCAGCAGGTAGAAGTTAGCAAGTAAGACCACTACTTGACAAAGGAAAGACAGAAAACAGAATCATGGACCCGTTTGCCTGACAAGGACAAATGCTGGTATTGTCAATGATGCCCACATCCTGTGACTGAAGATGCTATAAGATTATAGCTCAAGCACACACAAGTACTGGAGTCTTATTTATTTACAATCTATATTAAGATTTTGAGGACTAAGGGGTCAAGTGTTTTAGGGAAAAAGGCAGGGAAGTGGGGTTGAGGATTGTCCGATCAGTCATGATCTCATTTAATGGTGCAGCAGTCTCAATAAGCCAATGGCCCCACCTCTGCTCTTGTGTCTCATGTTTTACTTGACTAGCAGAGAATAATGTATTGAGGTTTGCATTCCTAGCAAAGTTAGGTCAGAATGCAACCAGAGATGGTGACAAATGTTGCAAATATATACAGGTTAAATGAATGGACAACAATGCAGCTAGAGTTGCAGCAGTATGAAATTTCAAGCTAGAATCTGCACCTTGCTGTAGCCTCCCCACATTCCAGGTTCCCACACTGTTAGCAAAACCCACCTATGTTTAAAAGGGAACTCCGACCCAAATTCTAACTGCTAAATCAGTCTGTTAATAATGAACTTCTGTTTGACGGGCATATCTGCCAATGTCAGGAGTTTGTCAACTAGACTCCTTAACCAGTGTGGAGTTTTAAAAGTTCAAGTCAGAGTCTGGTAATCCAACTCATTGAGGAAACTCACCTGGGAGATTCCCACCTACATTCAATTCCAAAGTCAGCACTCCTACTTTATCACACTGAATAAACTATAAAATTTCCCTTCCCTTCCCCAGAGTCAAGAGTCAGACAGCACAGAACCAGACCTTTGGTCCAACCAGTCCATGCCGAGCATAATCCAAAACTACACTAGTCCCATCTGCCTGCCCCGACACATACCCTCCAAAACCGTTTTTCTTTTACGTACTTATCCAAATGTCGTAACTGTACCCATATTCACCACTTCCTGAGGAGGTTCATTCCATATGCAAACCCACTTGTGTAAAAAAATTGTCCCATGTCTTTTTAAAATCTCTCTCCTGTCACCTTAAAAATGTGCCCCCTCGTCTTGAAAACCCCCATCCTAGGGAAAAGACAACTACCATTAACCTAATCTATACCCCTCATTATTTGATAAATTCCTATCAGGTCATCTCTCAACCTCCCAAGCTCCAGTGAAAAGAGTCCCAGCCTATCCAGCCTTTCTTTAAAACTCAAACTTTCAATACTAGGCAACATCCTGGTCAATCTCTTCCGAACCCTCTCCAGCTTAATAATAATCTTCCTACAACTGGGCGACCAGAACTGGACACAGTACTCCAGAGGAGGCCTCAATGTCCTGTATCACTTCAACATGACTTCCCAACTCCTAAGCAATGAAGGGAAGCCTGCCAAATGCCTTTTTAACCACCCTATCTATACATGATGCAAACTTCAAAGAATTATGTACCTAAACCCCTATGTCCCACTGTTCTACAACATTAATAAACAAGCAGACTCAAATAGAAGAGAAAATGTCCTGAATTCAACAAGCATCCTCAAACTAAGTTCAAATAGGGTAGTTTAATTTTCTTCACAGTAGTCAGATTTTAAGATATCATACCTTTCTTAAATGCCATCACAAATTCTCTCAGTGTATCAGAATCAAATTCTTCTGGTTCCATTGCATACTTCTTGCCAGCTACATCTAGAATTGCTGCATTCACTTCTTCACCACTGTCTGCCAGGCCCAGGCTACTTAGTTCCGATGAATAATCCTCTTCATCGGCAATGGCAAAAGTATACTCAGGAAAATCCTTAGCTACTTCCAATACTTTCTTCCGCCAGTACTGCGTTGCTGGAAGTAAAAGCAACATACAAGAGTGAATTTAATATTCAGTATTCAACATTTTGAACTTGAGTACACAATATGAAAAAGGTGTCATTTTTGACACTCCCAAATGCAAATGCGCCAGCCAACATTTTCAGTGATAACAGTTATATTGCTTTTTTATATGAATACACAGAAAAATGCCCGAAGGAAACCGTGGGAGCAGGAAAAGTTGTAAAAGGACAAGAACACTTAGATGAGGGGACAGTAAATCCCTGTTTAACAATCAACTTAACTTTGTCGGATTTAAGAGACAGTAATTGGCATTGTAATTTTGTTGAAATGATTCAGTGTTCACTGACAATTAATACCACTTGGAGCTACCCCTTTAGTTCTCAACTAGCAGGCTTTGTCCATGCCTCACTCTTCCTCTTGCTAGCTCTTATACTTGCTGACTCCTCACCACACCAATTCGCTTTCTTGAATCGGAGTTCCCTGTTCACGTTTCAGATCCAATTCAAAGCTCCAGGTTTGTGACATTAGTGGTGAAGTTTGCTCATTCTGTGGGTCATCACTCAATTCATCACGGACCCAAAATATTAACCAATTTTTTTCTTCACAGATGATGCCAGACCTGCTAAGCTTTTCAGCAACTTGTGTTTTTGTTTCTGCCACAAAACATAGAACATAGAATAGTACAGCATACTACAGGCCCTTCGGTCCACGATGTTGTGCCGACCTCTTATCCTACTCTTAAGATCAAACTACCCTGCATACCCTCCATTTTACTATCAAACATGTGCCTACCCAAGAGTCGCTTAAATGTCCCTAACGTATCTGACTCCACTACCACCGCTACCAGCGCATTCCATGCACCCACCACTCTGTGCAAAGAACCTACCTCTGACATCTCCCTGTACATTCCTCCAATCACTTTAAAATTATGCCCCCTCGTAATAGTCATTTCCATCCTGGGAAAAAGTCGCTGGCTATCCACGCTTCTCATCATCTTGTATACCTCTATCAAGTCACCTCTCATCCTCCTTCGCTCCAATGAGAAAAGCCCTAGCTCCCTCAACTTTTCCTCATAAGACCTGCCCTCCAGTCCAGGCAGCATCCTGGTAAATCTCCTCTGCACCCTCTCTAAAGCCTCCACATCCTTCCTATAATGAGATGACCAGAACTGAACACAATATTCCAAGTGTGGTCTAACCAGGGTTTTATAGAGCTGCAGCATAACATCGCGGCTCTAAAACTCAATTCCCCTGCCAATGAAAGCCAACACACCATAATGCCTTCTTAACAACGGTATCTACTTGGGTGGCAACTTTGAGGGATCTATGGACGTGGACCCCAAAATCCCTCTGTTCCTCCACACTGCCAAGAATCCTGCCATTAACCCTGAATTCTGCATTCAAATTCAACCTTCCAAAAATGAATCACTTCACACTTTTCCAGGTTGAATTCCATCTGCCACTTCATTGCCCATCTCTGCATCCGGTCAATGTCCCGTTACAACCTACAACATCCCTCCACGCTATCCACAACTCCACCAACCTTTGTCATCGGCAAACTTACTAACCCACCCTTCCAAATCCTCATCCAAGTCATTCATGAAGATCACAAAGAACAGAGGTCCAGAACAGATCCCTGAGGAACACCACTGGTCACCGACCTCCAGGCTGAATACTTTCCATCTACTACTACCCTCTGTTTTCCATTGGATAGCCAAATTTCCCTGAATCACATGTCTCCTTACTTTCTGAATGAACCTATAAAGGGGTTTTCTTATCAAATACCTTGCTAAAATCCATATACAGCACATCCACTTCTCTGCCTTCGATGTGTTTTGTCACATCCTCAAAGAATTCAATAAGGCTTATGAGGCATGACCTGCCGCTCACAAAGCCATGCTGACTATTTCTAATCAAATTAATGCTTTTCCAAATAATCATAAATACTATCTCTCAGAATCCTCTCCAATAATTTGCCCACCACAATAGTAAGACTGACTGGTCTGTAATTCCCAGGGTTATCGTTATTCCCTTTCTTGAAAAAGGGAACAACATTTGCCACCCTCCAATCATCTGTTATTACTCCAGTGGACAGTGAGGACGCAAAGATCATCGCCAAAGGAACAGCAATCTCTTCCCTCGCTTCTTGTAGTAACCTTGGGTATTTCCTGTCTAGCCCAGGGACTTATCTATCCTCATGTTTTTCAAAATTTTTAGCAAATCCTCTTTCCTAACATCAACCTGTTCGACCATATCATCCCATTTCACGCTGTCTTCACAAACTACAAGGCCCCTCTCACTGGTGAATACTGAAGCAAAGTATTCATTAAGGACCTCCCCTACCTCCTCTGAATCCAGGCACAAGTTCCCTCCACTTTCCCTGATTGGCCCTACCCTCACTCTGGCCATCCTCTTGTACCTCACACAAATATACAACGCCTTGGGGTTTTCCTTAATCCTACCCAGCAAGGCTTTATCATACCCCCTTCTAGCTCTCCCAAGTCCATTCTTCAGTTCCTTCCCAGCTACCTTGTAACTCCCTCGAGCCCTGTCCAATCCTTATTTCCTCACCCTTAAGTAATCTTCGTTCTTCCTCTTGACTAGATGTTCCACATGTCTGGTCAT